CTCAGGCTGGTTTCGAACTCCTGAGCTCAAACAATCCGCCTGCCTCGGCCTCCCAGAGTGAAGATTTATTTTTTTAAAAATGTTTATTTAACTTTTGGGACTCCAAGGAAATCTCTGAGCAAGCGTCACCTTCCTCTGCTGGGTTTTTGCAAATCCATCTTCTGTTATGGCGGCTCCTCCCTTCCTTGGTCCCTGTGAGGGGAAGGCTGGTTGGCTGGCATCGCGGAGGTGGCAAACACAGCCTGTGCCTGAATGTGGCCCACAGACATGCTCTGCTCAGTCCTACGGTGTTTTTTAAAAACACTAGAATCAGTTGAAGACTTTAAAAAGTGGGGATATTGGTGTGAAAATCTAAATTTCTAACTTCTTTCATAAACGGAACGATGTGCTTCTCAGACCGTCATTCTTGCTGGGGCTGAAACATGAGCATTTGAGTTTGAGAGACTCCCTCTGCCTCCAGGGCTGAGACTCGGTAGCTGCTGAGCAGGTACTGGGGTTTTCCTTAGAGGGGAGAATAAAAAAGTGGGGAAACGAAAGTGCGAGTGGGCCACGCTTCTCATTCGGGCCTGCTTCACTTGTCACCGTACCTGCTGTTCCCTAGTCTGGGCTTCTGAGTTTGAGACCCCGATTTACATTTCTGGGGTTCTAGCTTTCCCTCTTTTCAGGTTTCCCTATTCATATTAAAAACCTAAGAACAAGGACAGAACAACCAAAACAGCTGTTTACAACAGCTGTGCCCTCAGGCTCCTGACTTCTGTTTCCTGGGGAAGATGTCCTCTTCTGTCAGTTTGTGGAGAAAACAGAGCAGCAGTGGGGAGAGAGAGAGAGCTGGCCTCGCCTCGCCGGGGATTGCAGGCAGGGGGCTGGTACCCTCACCCTCGCTTAGTAAGAACCCAAACTAACCAAACTAACCGATATTTGCCGCCTCAACACGCTGGCACATTTCCTTCCTATCTTGCGTTTATATATAGGAGATGGGATCATAGTGGAATACTGCTTTATAGTCTTCTGTTTTCCACCTGGCAATATATTATAATCATCTTTATGTTTTATTGAATATTATCCTATGTTACCATTTTTAAAGATTTTTTAATCTGGTAAAATTCACATAACATAAATTGATCATTTTAAATGAGAAATTCAGTGGCATTTAGTGTATGCACAATGTTGTACAACTACCACCTCTATCTAGTTCCAAAATAGTTTTGTTACCCCAAAAGAAAACTCCATACCCATTAAGCAGTTGCTCTCCCAATGTCTTCCTTCCCCCAACCTCTGGCAACCACCAATCTGTGTTCTGTCTCTATGAATTTACCTACATATACATATGGATTTACCTATATTTACATACATATGGATTTACCACTCATACAATATGTGACCTTTTGTGTCTGTCTTCTTTCACTTAGCATAATGTTTTTGAGGTTTATACACATTGTATGTAATATGTATCAGCATTTCATTCTTCTCTTACTGCTGATGGACAGTTGGGCTGTTTCCACCTTATGGCTATTGTGAATAGTGCTACTGTGAACATGTGTGTATGTGTGTTTGAGTTTGAGTGCATATACCTATGAGTGGAATTGCTGGGTCACATGGAAATTCTAGGTTTAACGTTTTAAGGGACCACCAAACTGTCTTCCACAGTGGCTATATCCTTTTATAGTCCTGCTTGCAATGTGCAAAGCTTTCAGTTTTTCTACATGATCACCCATACTTGTTAGTTTCCTTTTCTTTTTTTTTTAAATTATAGCCATCCTAGTGGGTGTAAAGTGGTACTTCATTGTGGTTTTGATTTACATTTCCCTAATGTATGTCCTTTCTGATGGCTGCGGAGTAGTCCCTTTCATGGATGTCACGTAGTTTGCCTAATCAATTCTCCAGGGGTAAATGTTCCCCACCCCCCATCTTTTGGTCCCTGTAAACATATACAATGCAGTGCATACCCTCATGTCAGCTGAGAGCCTAAACTCTGGAGTCAAACAGGTGAGCTTAGGGTGTGACATCTCCACTTACTGTGTCATTTTAGGCAATTCACTTAACCTGTAAACCTCAGTTTGTTCATTGGTAAAGTAAGAATGAATAACAGACCTGCTTCACAGGTGGTTCTGAGGATTCAACGTGAATATGAGCAAAACCCTTAACACATGGGCTCCTACGTGGGAAGTGCTCAGTAGATACTGGATGTTTCCTCCATCTTCATTCGTATCTTTGATTTCTTCCTTAAATTCTTAGAGGTTACATTGTTGGATCAGAACTTATGCACATATTTGAAGGCCTTTGACATACATTGTCAAATTGTCCTTTCCAAATACTAATTTAAACTCCACCAGCAGTGTTTGTTTTTAGCACCTTCAACACTGGGAATTGTCGTTAAAAAATCATTGCTAATATCTCATTGTTATTTTAAATTTGCATTTCTTCAGTTGCTAGTGAGGTTAAATTTTTTTTTTTTTAGGAATTTATATATCTCTTTTGTGAATTGTCTTTTCATGTCCTATGCCAGTTTTTCTATTGGGCTGGTAAATTTGTCTAAATTTCTATAAGAACTCTTTATATAAGAATATTAACCTAATTTGTCTGTCATTTTGTTAAAAAAATAATTCATTTCCAGTCTGTCAATTGCACTTTAATGTTACATAGCAAAATGGCATTGTTCACCACTATAGGATTTGTAAATATCAAACTCCTGGTGTTTCTCAGAGGGGATGGACAGATGCTGAGCAAGTCATTGACCTTCTCTAGGCCTCAGTTTCCCCATCTATGAAATAAAGGGGTTGGATTAGAAAATTACTGTTTATTTCCAGATTTGAAATTTTGTGATTTTATAAACATATCTTGTATGTTCAGTATACAGTGTTCCTTTAGTTTGTGTTTATTTATTTATTTAAGAGATGAGGTCTCACTCTGTTGCCCAGGCTGGAGTGTAGTGGCGTTATAGCTCACTGCAGCCTTAAACTCCTGGGCTCAAGTGATCATCCTATGTCAGCCTCTTGAGCAGCTAGGACTGTAGGCATGCACCTCCACGCCTGGCTAACTTTTGTTATTTATTTATTTTTTGAGATGAGGGTCTTGCTATGTTGCCTAGGTTGGTCTCAAACCCCTGGTCTCAAGCAATCCTCTTGCCTCCTAAGTTGCTGGGATTACAGGTATGAGCCACCATGCCTGGTTATAGTGTATTTCATATGTCATATTTTACATTGATATGTAGTGGTAATAACCAAAAATGTAATTACTTCCTAAACTACTTTGGTATACCTACAGATTCCTGAGCAGAGGTTCTAAGTATGTAATAGTGTTTTGGTGTTT